TGGTGGTGCTGCGCCTGCAGGCGGTGCTGCCCCGGGTAAGTGGGCATCTGTGTCCAACGCAGTGATCTTCAGCTGGCAGAAATATTTGGTTAAAAAGCTGCTTGTTAGCAGCTTGGCTCGTTCTCTTGTAATTTTAATGTGGTTTGTGCACTGCAGTACGCATGTGGGTGTTCCCGGGCAGAACAGCCCCGCACCTTTGGAAAGGCTGGAATTGCCCTTTGAGTCAGTGTACGGGATTAGCATTACCTCAGAATTGAGGCTGATCTCCCTGTACAGCACCAGGATCTCATCCCGATGGGGAGAGAGAGCACCTGCTTTCTGAAGCTTTTCAGCTTTGATAGGAATAATGCTGAAGGCACAAAACTGCTTTTCTAGTAGTGGAAACACCTGTGTCCTGGCTTGTTAGGACTGCTCAGTTCTTGCTTCTTGGTGTTTGTCATTGTGTGTGAAGTCTTTTGTGGCACGTGACCCTCATGAGCTGATAAAACAGAAAAATCCTGATTCCTTTCTCCTTTTTTAGCTGAGGAGAAGAAAGAAGAGGAAAAGAAAGAAGAATCAGAGGAATCTGATGATGACATGGGCTTTGGTCTTTTTGACTAACTAGTTTTGTACCTGATGTAATAAAGACCATTTAATTGTACTCGTCTCTAATGCGGATGTATGTGAAGGGGAGCGGATGGAGGATGGTCAGGGTTTTTTTAATCATTTAGGCTGGAAAAGACCTAAGATCATAAAGTCCAACTGTTCCCCTAACCCTGCCATCCCACCACTAAGAGGTCCCTAAGCACCTCTTCTGCCCAGCTTTTGAACATCTCCAAGGATGGGGACTTGACTGCTTCCCTGGGCAGCCCCTTCCAGTGCTTGACAGCCCTTTGGGGAAGGAATTTTTCCTAATGTTCAACCTAAACCTGCCCTGGCACAACTTGAGGCTGTTTCCCCTCATCCTATTGTCTGTTACCTGGGAGCAGAGGTTACCTGCAGGTGCTGAAGCTGCTCTCATCATGTGTTAATCTAGGGCTTTACAATTCTCCTTGTCTGGTCTTAGTACTTGACACAGACACAGCACGGTGACAGTTAAGGCTCCTGCCTGCACCCATAGTGTATGGATGGAGATGTCAGCAGTGAGCATGGGATGCAGTCACGCTCAGCACAAGTGCTATGGTTTGCTTGGTGCTGCAGCCTGTCTAGTTCATGCTTCAGTGACAGTGCAGGGTCCACCTGGGGCAGGTTCTGGTACGAGGAGATCATTTAACGTGTTCAGGGGCAGATAAAGGCAGGGGCACAGCAGGGACTGCCTGCATTTCACAGTGGGGGGCAGCTGAAGAGTGGGGAAAAAGGCTGAAACTCTCAGCAGAAGGCCCTTGCTGGAGGCTAAAGCTAGGGGTACCGTTTATTCAGGAGTAGGGATAATTTGAAAGCAGATTGAGAGTCTTGCAGTAAAGGGCGCCGAGCCTAGGCTGTGTAAGGCCTGGGTTTTTTTTTTTTTTCCTCCTGCTTAGAAAAAAAGTTAAGGAGCATCTCTGAAAGCTGCTTTGAAGGGCAGGGGCAGGGAGATGGTGTAACTTGACATATGAAAGGAGTAACTTGGAAAGTATTTCTAAAACAACTTTTGAATAGGACTTTCCCAGAGCAACTGAGCAAGGTAGGGATCTAATCGTCATCTAATGCGTGTTCTACAACATCAGATGAAAACTAAGCATTAGCAGAAGGTTTAGGTGTGGCAGAAGGACTCCAAAGTTGTGAGGGAGGATGGTTCCGCACCCAGGCCTGCCATGGAAGCTCTGCTCTGTCCCCTCTCCCCACATCACTGGAACTCGTTTGGTTTTTGAAAGGTGCAGGCATCCATGGAAGAATTTAGTCCATGCGACCAACATCCACCGTCCTTCCTGCAAACCACTCGACTGCTCCGTTCCCCCAGCCCTTTCTAAAGAAGCCTTCCCCTAGGAAAATGGATTTTAAAAGTTTAAAGGAGTATGAGGAGCGACGCCAAGTAATTACAAGTGGCTTACACTGATTTGTTCCTGTGGTCCACAGCTGGAGGAAAAAGGGCTTTCTGGCAGACTCTTAAACCTTGTCCTTCCTCCCTGGCTGTGTACTCTTGCTCCTTAAGTCTTGCGTAAGCGAACTCTGAAAAGCTTGCGGATTAGGGTAGGGGGAACAATTCAAAGAGAACTCAGGAGTGGTTTCTTCTGCAGTGCACGCGCCCACAAAATAATACACCCAGAATTTCACTGGTAACACCTTTTTAATAGGTCAAAGTAACTGTACAGTTCATTATATTCTTCCTGAGAATAATTTATATCCCTCAACAGCAAAAAGGGAGTGTGGTTTTTATTTTAACAGAACAGATGGCGTAACTGGAAAACCAAGGAAAATCTAATTACATTGCTCTACTGTAACTCCTCCCAGGCAAGATAGACAAAAGGATGGGTTAGTTAACTACAGTGGGTTTAAAATATTCAACATGGCTTTAATCTGTCTTTATAAATTATATAAAAATGGGGGACATGAATGGTTACAGAACTCCTCTAAATGCAGCTCTGAATTGCTCTGGTACAAAGCAGCATTTTTGCTTCCAAGGAAAACAACGTTGCTACAAAAGAACTGGCACATTATTCTGGTGAAAAAGACGAGTTTTCAGTTGTGTTCTACAGCTAGTTCCAAACAAATGCTTCACACATTCACATAAAAGTAAAAGGCAGGAAGATGAAGAGGGCTTTAGTTTTGTCTTGAAATGACTGAAGTCTTGAAAATATAGCTTTTTATTCTTTCTCTGTAAATTGTGATTAGCATATTGCGACGTAAGTGTTCTAATAAAAAAATTCCAGTCTGGATAGTTCATATACTGTGGGCAAGAATTCTCAGCCCTGAGGTTTCCCCGAATTCTTCACTTCACAATATCTTTCTCTGATCCGCTGCTCGGACAGTTCTGGCTCGGAGACCGGAACCCTGTGGCAGCTCTAGGCTAAGCGTGTCCCATGCGATGGTGTAAAATTGAAGTGCGCTCCGTAGCTGTGATTTCCCGAGGACTCCTGTACAAACTTCATCTTGTGATAATGCCACTTTTGGAATCCCAGACCAGCTTGGCTTGATGATAAAAACTTGGTTAAACTTTTGTAATGAGAGAGAACCAACAGCTGGCAGTCAGGTCTGCTGAAGCAAGAGGCGCTGGAAAGCCAGGACTACACTGGGTTAATCCTCACTGCTGGTGGAAGGTGAAGTCACATCCTTTCGCAAGCAGAATTCTTAGACTGATGAAACTCTTCCCTCAGTACTTAGTGCGGTCTGGACTGACTGATCATTTTCAGTCTGGCTTGATCAATAACATCCAGCAAGTTTTTGGCATCCACAGCCAGAGCGTGAGCAGCCGTCAGCATTTGCTTTTTGTACTCCTGCTGCAGGCTGGTCATGACGTACTGCTGTGCCAGCTTCATCTTGTTAATGAGCTCGGCCAAGTCCGAGTTCAGCAGCTTCTGCGCCATCTCAATCTGGAACAAGAAGATTCGGGCAACTCTAAGTCGTCGGAAGCATCGCACTCGTGACAGCGATGCGACAGCAGTGGCACTATCCACCCTCGACAGCCCCTGCTTGAAGCTGGGGCTGTTTCTGTGGACAGCAGGTGGAGCAGATGGAATTCCCATCACCCTTTCTATTACTATTATTAAAGAAGCTCTAAAGCAGTAAAAAATAGAACGGGTCAAGAAGCTGGATGCGGGTTACTTAACAGAACGACACAGCTCAAGTCAGGCTGATTCTCTAAGGCGGCACTTAAAGAACCGTTCTCCAGCTTTGTCATTATCGCACTCATTTAAGGTTGTGGAGGAAAATAGTTTTACTCCTGACTCATGAACTTCACTGAAAGATCTGTCACTTCTCACCCAGAACTAGGTTGTTATGGGCTATCTCATCAAAACCTTCCAGCTGCACCAGGCTATGCTGTTTAAACCTGTTTAAGGACTTTGCGTGCAAGCTGTAGTTTAATGAAGGATTAAACTTGCACTCAGAAGTTCCATGCAAGCACCGCTAACAGTTTTTATGTCAACTTCATCTGTGCACGTGTTGCACGCTCTTCAATTACACCCAGTTTGAGTGGCTTCGCTTAAGTCAATACAAGCCTACGCCCACACAGCAACTGGCTTCTAATAAAATTAGCTTCATGAAGAGTTACAAACCCGAGAGTTCATACTGCTCGGTGAGTCAAAACATAGGCAAAGAGGAGAGCACCAAAGCACGTCCAGGGCAGTGTCCTGGCTGGGGCTAACCTGAAACCTAACAGACTGAGCATCAGGCGAGGGGAGCTCTACGTACCTCTCTGTGGGTGCTTGCGGGAAGCACGGGGAGGCTTTCATCTACTGTTGCCAGTAAGGTTCTTAACGCCAAACCAACCTCCTGAAAAAATAAATAAATTGAGAAAATAATGTTTAAAAATTGGGAATGACTGGATGAGAGACTTGTAGCCAGAGTGCAGGAAGCAACCGATAAACTTAATCCCTCATCTGGGTAAGAAGGGAGTTAGAACAAGGCTGAGGGACTTAAAAAAAACCCACTTGCAATTCATCAAAATGCCAAAGGGTTAATTAAAAAAAAAGGTTTTTTAAAAATGAAATGTAGAGACGATAGTGCACAATGCACTGCCCCTGGATAAGCACAGGCAAGCTGAGGAATAAAAGCACCGTTTCCCACAACACTGTTAACAGTATCCAACGCTCCAGCACTCTGACCACACAAAAACCTTTTCTAACTTCCAATTTCCCACCAAGTTTCTCCTGTGCCGCCTGAAGGACAGAAATTCATTCTGGACAGAAATAAACCACTGATTTTAGGAACTGCGTTCGTACCTTTACCATGGGCACGTACTCCTCTGGCGGGGCTGGCTGTATTTTACTGGACATTTCTATGACCGCTTTCACCAGCCCAGTTACATTCTCGTAGACTTTGTCATTGGAGCGGTCCAGGTTGGCTGTAGGAGGAGGGCTGATTTCCTGCGGCTGAATCTGAAAGCAGAGAGGGGTGGTTTAACCTCCTGTCCCCAGCAGATGGGGCTCAGCAACTTCCCAACCTCCGCAGAACGCCGGGAAGGTCTCATATTCACAACAGCCCCCCCGCCCGGTCCCGCTGGGTCCCCTGTCCTGGCTGAGCACACTCGCTCCCAGATTGGAAGGAATTTTCCTTTAGTTCTTCTGACTGAACCTGATCTGTGAAATGACACTGGGGAATTTTTTACCGGGATTTCCCTGAAGAGCTTCCAGTATAACTCCCGCAACAGAGAAGAAAATAATTTGAGGAACGAGGAGCACAGAACTACTTGACACGTCTCAGTGGCTCACTACTGATGGGACAAGTTCCACCACTAAGACAACAGGTATCAGGTCCCTCATTCCAGAAAGTTGTTTTGTGCTCCAAAACAATGTCAGAGTACACAGCTAACACACTGAGAGAGTAAAGAGAGAATTATTGCTGTACATATTGCTGGTTTGTTAAATTCACAGCAGATTTACAAAAACGGTGTCACCAGTACAGGTGGGAAACACCATATGTTTTCAGAGTTTGTTTCCAATAGATCAGAAAAAACCCCAACAGGTTAAAAACGCCACAGTCCTTACTCCAGTAAAACGTCCATTGAGTCAGATCTGTCTAGAG